AAGTCCCAAGGGTTTGAGCTTTGAAGACCGGAGTCAACTGAGAAGAAAGGAGACCAGAGGATAAAAGAGCAGAGGATCCTGTCAAACAGCTGTGGAAGTCTCTCCATCCAAGAAGAGGGGCCGTGGACTCTTGGCTTTTCCCTCCCCCACCCCCGCCCCCAACAAAGGACTCGCATGCAGCCACCGGGGCAATCAGCCGATGTGTGTCAGAACCCTCTCAGAGGGCAGAAGCTGCCTTCACAAGTGGGGTCTGTGGAGGACCGCTTCCCCGCCGCGTCCGGAACTCGGGTGCCCGGGTCCAGTCTCCATCGCTGTCCCTCGGCGCCGCAGTGGTTAACATTTCGGCACGGTCTCTGCCCACACGTCACTGCTCCGTGGGCCTGGCTCCCTGGCCTCACTTTCTGCTCCGGGGCCCCAAGCCCTGGAACCCTCAAACCACCGCCTAACAACGCGTCCTTGAGAATAGCGTGCAGTCACGAGACCAAGCCGGCAGGTAAACAATCTGCTGTGCCTTGTCCTGACTCTGCTCTTCCTGAAGCCACGCGGGTATAAACACAAGGGGAAACTGTTGTCACAAAGCCAGACGTAGAAACACACCACTGGAGCCCGGGCCCAGGGTCTTCCGACAGCCGCTGCTTTTCACCTCTGGGAGGACGGAGGTCTGTGTCTCAGCAAGGGCTCTGGGCACGGGAGACAGTGCACTGCCCGAGAGGAAGCTGTGCCGATGCCGGGCTCCACCCCAGAAAACTTCCAAGCTTGAGGTTCACCTTGTGATCATGCCAGCGTGGGCTTCCTAATTACCCAGCACAGCAGTTCAGAATGGAAAGCTTCAACTGCCCCTTAGCTAACTGAAGGCCAGGAGAAGTAAACGTCTCCCGCAAAGCAACAAATGAGGGGTGCAGCTCGGATGGCAGCGCTCTCACTCTGAAACCTACTTGCAAGCAGCCTGTGGAGTAAATGGAAATCAGTCTTGGCATCGAGCTCTGTACCGCAAATCACCTCTCAGGGCAAAAGTACAGGAAGGTGACCCTCAGGTGGGCTTAGCTTCCTGATGAATTTCACGTGAAATGAAAGAGCTTGATTTCATACAGACTCCACCTTCTGGCTGTTAGCGGGATTTAGGATTTATTCTTATTCTCCCCCCGCCCCTCCTCTCCCATCTGTCACAACAAAGTACAAGCCTGCAGCTCAGAGCCAGCCTGCTGGCGGCAGCTCCTATGGGGGCAGAAACGGCCGGGAGAAGGCCGGGGAGTGAGAACCTGCCAGTGGCCACAGCCTCCCGGGCTCTTCCCCCACAAGACCTGTCTGCAGAGCCCCCCAGACGCAGTCCTCTAGAAGACCCTCACGTGTGAGGGGCACGAACCCCATGTGGTAAAACTTAGCTTTCTTACAAGGCTTAAAACACGACACTGGCCAAGTCCGCGTACCAAATTTGAGATGCTGGTGACTCCCCTCTAACGGGCACGGAAAGCCCGCTTCATGCACTGTACTGTCATGTATACTAAACTCGTCAATACAATTTCAGCAAGCAGGTCATGCCAACATGGATGCACTATTCCCCACGATCCAGAAGGAGCACAGAGCCCCACCTCCACTCTGCCCACGGTCTGCCAGGGGCGCTACCAGCCATCCAGGCAGGGAGAGAGCAGCCGGCGAGGGGGCAGCTCCATGAGAAGCGGCAGAGGCGGCACCAGAAGCCCCTGGTCCCCATACGCTGTTTACAGGGCGATGGGCGTCTGCTCAGAAGGTCACTCTTAGAAAGGGAATTACCCACCAGAAGGTGTGTGCAACTCCACGCCGGCAACAGCCCTCCAAAGGGGCTTCACTGTTTTCCCCTCTTCACCAGCTGCTCGCTAGGATGGCAGCTCCTTTATTTTAAACGCTAGGACATCAGGTGTGACCTTGTCTGGACAATGAAAGGACACTTCCTGAGAGAGTGGACACAGCAGACAGAACTGGTTAAAGGCGTTAGAGAGAAGCAGAGACACTCCTCCTAGTATTATGAGCTAACTCTGCTCTCCCCTTCATACCTTGAAGTCCTAACCCCCCAGGACTTCAGAAGGTGATAGAATGAAGCTCTTTCAAGAGGTGATTAAGGCAAAATGAGGGCATGGGGGTGGACCCTAATCCAATCTGGCTGGTGTCCTTCTAAGAAGAGATCAGGACAGAGACACACACAGAGGGAAGACCAGGTGAGGACGCAGGGAGAAGGCGGCCGCCTGCAAGACCCCGAGAGAGGCCCTGGGAGACACCCACCCTGCCAGCACCTGGAGCTTAGACTCAGGCCTCCAGAGCTGTGAGAAAATAACCGTCTGGGGCTTCCCTGGTGGCGCAGTGGTTGAGAGTCCGCCTGCCGATGCAGGGGACACGGGTTCGTGCCCCGGTCTGGGAGGTTCCCACATGCCGCAGAGCGGCTGGGCCCGTGAGCCCTGACCGCTGAGCCTGCGCGTCCGGAGCCTGTGCTCCGCAACGGGAGAGGCCGCAGCAGTGAGAGGCCCGCGTACCGCAAATAAATAAATAAATAAATACCTGTCTGTTGCTGGTGCCGCCCAGACCCCGGCAGTTTGCCATGGCAGCCCACGCAAACTGCTACCCCGAGCTCTCAAGGTCCCCGTGACACTGGGGCAGGGAGCAGACTGCCATGAGTCAGGACACCTGAGCTTGGAGATCTGGCGCAAAACCTCCAAAAACAGTGGACGCTGGCTCTGGAAACATGATGGTTGAGGAGGCCACTCCCCTGCGAACACAGCTGGAGGCAAGCAAACACTGCCAGATCTTCTCCCGAGAGCCTGGGTCCTGCTCAAACCCCACCGTCGTGTCCACAACCCCCAGGCAGAAGTCGCCTCACCCTCGTCCCTCCGAGATTCTGAACCATCCCGTGACTTCACAAAGATGACAATTACGCGTCATCGCTTCAGTGCTGAGTGTTGGTGTCTCTCCGTCCCCCCTACGCTGGGAGGTCCCCTGGGGCAGAACCTCTGTCCTACTTTATCTGGAACACAGAATCCTGAACCTCACAAAAATGTTCTCAATTCGATCTGCTGCATAAATGTTCTCTCGACGCTCTTCTGGCATCACAACAGAAGCCAGTCTTCATCATCGGGTTCCCGTTGACACATCAGCGATTCGATTTCTTTACACAGATACGTTACATGAATGTATGCAAAACACTGGGCATCTTTAAATCTTTGCATTATAGATTGGGTTTTGGTGAGCAAAGGACAGTCCCTGCCTGCATTTTCATTTCTTTTTTCTCCCATTTAATGTTTCAAGGGCACTCTTCCTCGCTGCTCCTTCAGAAGATAAACATTTTCTCAAAAACAAAACAAAACAAAACGCCTCTTCGACATCCCTAATCTAGGATTTCACTGAGTCTCACCACTGTTTAAAAGCACACACAATGATTCTGAAAATTGCTGGGTTTGCGGCTCAAAAGCAGAAAGCTTCTGGAACTCATTCCGTCAGAGTGGTTACGCAGCCTGCCAGAAGACACAGCTGTGAAACAGGCAGCATGGGGTCCCTCCCCTGTTCCCGTTGACCCCTTCGCTGCCGACAGTACCGTTACCGCACACACGCGCGCGCACACGCACACGCACACACACGGTATGTACATTAGAAGCCATGTGTTATGACTCTTCACAGCAGGAGAGCTGAACTCCAAGCAGCACATGCGTGTCTCTGCAGGATAAACGCCCGAGGCCTCCGTGCAGCAGCGAAGCCTGCGCTCGAGTGTGCGGGGAGCGTCCCCGCCGCACCGCACCGCACCGCACCGCACCGCAGCACAGCACGCTCTCACGACGGCAGCAGGGCCCGGAAGTGGCTTTGATAAAGAGGACAGCTGTCACTTGGCACGTGAGCTGCTCGCAATCCAGAGCCACGGAGCTCTGACTGTGCCGCTCAGACACAGCTCAGCTCTGTACGTGTGTTATTCACGGACCTCCCTCTCTCACCCAGGGGTCTCTGGTCTTGGCCGTGCAGACTGGTAAGTAACTGCGACCATATCCTACCTATGCACACACAGACCACCACGCCTGCTCCCTCAGAGCCACCGACACTCTTGTTCAAGGCCAGCAGCGCTCAGCTTACAGCCAAATGAAATAAAACCCCGTTACGTAAGGCTCTCAAAAGCAAGCATTTAAACTGGTCATCTCTGGGGCAGAATCTTCAATTTTGAGGTTGGTGTTTAATTTGAGCGGCACGCCAACTCCCAGAGATGCTCAAGGAACAGAAAAGTATGCACTCAGCGACCCTACTGTGTACAAATTTGCTTCCATTCTTCCATCAGCCCTTTTAAAATAAGGTCGTACCCCAGTTCCTGCAGTGACCTACACTTCCCTCCCCCGCCCTCCTTGTGGATAAGGGTCCAGACGACAGTATGTATTTCACCTAAATTCCACCCTCACTACAGTGACACAGCTACACTGGACACACTGGAGAATCAGGGCACGTGACAGTGTGATACTGCTGCCATTCCATTCTTTCAGATGCTCTGATCCCCTCTTGGGGAGCCAACCGACTCGATTTCTGTTTTAAAGCTCAAAATTAAGTCAGTAGATAAGGCCAATTGAGAAAGGCTTGCTCTAGTCCTTTGACTAACAATCCTTCCAGACAATGTGGATTTCCAGACCCAGCAACCCAGCTGTGCCCTCGATGTTAAAGCATCCCGTCAGATGGCCGCTCTGGATAAAGCATGTCATTCAAGCCACTACACTGGGTTTCTCGTTCTGTGAACATAAAGAACTTTACTGTACGGAAAACACAGCAGCTGTTTTAAGAACCAAAAATGCCACGATGGCATTCACAGCGTCCCCGCCCTGGGGATGCTTCTCCCGCCGGCAGTGGTGTAGGGCTGAGGGCTTGGTCCTGGGGACGCTGGAAGTTGAACCTGGTTAGTGGCCACTTCAGGTCTGGCGGAAACCGGACACCCAAGCACTCACCCACCATAATGCAGCCCACCCCAAGACGCCTTCTCAGTAACCCCAAGTCCAAGAGTCTCCTACCTTGGGGTGGGGCGTCCCTCCTCGGCCTGGACTGAGGAAGAAAGCTCTCTGCGCGCACCGGGGTCCTCCGTTTGCCGTCGCACTTCCACAGAAGCTTCCTGCCAAGGGTGGCACAATGAGACACCCGGTCATCAAGCTGCCGCCTCCGAGACCTCTGTGATCACGAACCCTTCATTGTGGGTTCGCCCTGTGAGCCCGCACCACGAAGGCAGTGACGCCGCCCGCCGTCAGGCGGCCATAGGACCCGCGAGCCCGGCTCTCCAAAGCGTCTCATCAAAAAGACTCAACAAGACCATGCGTCCCCTTCGGCTCTGGGCAGGAAGCAGAACTCCTACGTGAGGGTCATAAACCTGTGTTGACACACTGGCCCCCAAACCCTAATCAAATCAAACCCAGCTGGTCACGGCTCCCTGCAGCGAAACCTCAAGCCCCAGGACCTGGAGTCTGGGAGCCTTGTTTCTTGACCCATCAAGCATGGAATTCTCAGAGGTCACACTGCACGGGGCATGGGCACACGGTCACGGTGTTTGCAGGCCTTTCTGCACCAGGGGGCCACACAGAAACCTGCACCTGTCTTCACATGCGGACGTTCATTATTGTGTAACAAACCGATGGCTGGTTTTTCTTAAAAGAACCTCCATCTGATGCTGCAGGAAATCTTTTCTTTGAAATGTACAAATGCAGATGGAAGGGGGAGAAAAAGCAGAGAGAGTGGGAGAGGGAGACTGACTATGGACTTTGAGGTATGGATACAAATGTGTAGCTTTTCAGGAAGCTTCCCATCAACTTTCACCATCAAAACTCCTACTTTAAAAAAAAAGTGAAATAGTTTAACGCACTGCATTTTCAATTGCATTTGCCCCAGAACAACCTTTAAAGATATTTCACCACAAAAAGGGACTAAGAAGAAAACTAATAGCATCAAGTGACATCAAGGTTTGGAAACGATCACGTGTTGCCTTAAGCCTTGCTATAAAGCACCCCTTGTAATTTCAGAGGAGAGCTTGCCATTTTCTATCATCTCCCCCAATTTCTTCCCTTTGTATATTAAGGGCAAGCTAATCAAAGGGAAAGACCGCTTCAGCGAGAGCTGACAATGAGGCTGGGAACTCGAGATGTGGGTGAAAACAGGGCACTCGCAATTGTCATGAGTGTATCGCCTCTGTCCCCAGGTGCTGATACTAGAAAAGCTGGTGCACGTAAACGCTCAGACAGCTGGACACAAGTCACAACGGCAGTGGGCCATGATATCCTGGGGCTGTCCTATACGCACCTTAAGATGGGATTACGGTGGCTCTGTCCTGGCTCCCTGCAGGACGCTTACCTGCTTGTAGAGGTCGGTCGAGGGCGACGACCGGGACCTTCCGTGGATGTACTGTGGCCTCTCGTGTTGGTCCAGACCCACGTCCAGGATGTTGTCTGCCGAGTGGTACCTCCCAGAACTCCTGGCTTCCGGGGCTTTCCTCTGTTCCCTCCACGAGGCTTGATACTCTGCAAAGGTTCCCAGCCTCTGAGGCGGGTCTGATCTCCCCACCTTTCCCTCCTTTCCGGGGCCCGCTGTCCAAGGCCTCTCTGGCTTCTCCTTGGGGAACCCACAGGGTGCCGGCCTCAGCCCCGACCGCTGGCCTACGGGCTTGCTGGTTTCCTCAAAAAACTTCCACCTGTCGGCAAAGGTGCGCACGGTCTCGTCGGGAGGCGCGGGTCGCTGGCGCGGGCGCTCATCCCCCGCGAGCCCCACCTCGTTCATCTTCTCGGGCTCGGAGTAGGACTTCAGTTTCTGCTCGGCCGTGAAGCGCCTCCGGCCTGCGATGCGCGGGGCGTGCAGTGCGCCGCCGGCGCTCGAGGGCAGCCTGGCCGGGGCCGCCTCCCAGACGCGAGGGAGGGTGTCGGGGTCCGACGGGCTGGGCTCAAGGTCACGGCGCCTAAACGACGTGGCCCTCAGGACACGGGCCTGCGCCTCCTTCAGGTGGTCCTTATAAGTGCTGGAGAAGGCGGCTTCCGGGGCGCCCCCTGCCGGCTGCACCCCCCAGCCGCGCGCCTCTGCCTCGGCGGTGGTCTCGTCCCCCTCCGCGGCGCCGGCCAGGGTTGCCGTGCTCCGGCTCTTCTGCAGCCTGGCTCGCCGCAGCTGGATCTCGTTCCTCAGGGTGGTGGCGAAACGGTCGCTCCTCCGCATGGGTTTGCCCGCCAGGGCCTCGGGCGGGGGCCTCTCCGGGGCGCCCTCGTGGCCGGCCTCGGGCCGGCGCGCCCCTTCCTGGGTCAGCGAGTGCAGCATGGGCGTCTGCAGGGGGCAGATCTCGCCGCCCGCGTGGCCCCACGCGAAGCCGCCTGCGACCCTCTTCACACTCGCCGTTTCCACGAGGCCGGCCGCGGGCGGTTCCTCGGCTCCCTCGCAGTGGCCCCCGGCCTCCCTGTCCGCCGGCGCCACCCTCCCCCTTTGCCGGGCGCCCGGGGGCCCCTCGAGCCGGGGCGGGTAGCAGCGGGGCTGCGCGGCCGGGGCGCCGCCCTGCGGGCCGCGTCTGGAGGTCACGCAGTAGTAGCGGCTCTGCGCGCCACAGTCCCCCTTCTGGTCGCCAGCGCTGGGCCGCCCCACCGGAGCGGCGCTGTCATCCGGGAAGCGCTCGGCAGGCGGCTGCTCCCTGAGCCACGTGGCGGCACCGGGCCCCTCGTGAAAGAAGGGGCTCTCGTCGCTGGAGTGGCGCGGGTGCTGGCACGCGGGCGAAGGCGGCGGGCAGCGCACGTCCGTGCTGGACAGGGAGGCCTGGAGCCGGCTGGGGGCCCCCGGGAGGGCCCTGGCCCCGCTGTCGCACGGCGGCCACCCGCAGTCCAGGGGGACACCCGGCGCACAGCCCGAGCTTCCGGCTCTCCTCCCGTCGCCCAGGCGCGCTGGTCTCTGCGGCTGATCGGCCGCTTCCGGTCGCCAGTCGCTGGGGGACTGAGCGCGGGTCACGCCCGGAGGGTGCTGCGTGGTGGCCGCCTCTGAGAATGGAGGGCCCTGGGTCTTCTCGTGGCTCTTAGTGGCCGCAAAGCTGTCACTGCGGAGAGGGGGAGGGGGCGGAGGAGGGGACGAAGAGGCCTTCTTCTTATCGGGAACATACCAGACTGGCCCAAAACTGGACCTCCCGGAAGCAGCTAGCTTGGGCTCAGGGCTGTCCTCGGGCCTGGGGCTCCTGCTGCTGTCACAGGGGACCCTGGGGGGGAAGCACCCGAGCCTCTCGTCCACACACTGAGGGTCGCCGGCAACCAGGCCCTGCCGGTCGCTGCCTCCGGCGGAGGCCTCCCAAAGGCCCACTTTGTAGAGGATGTTCTCAGCAGAGGAGGCATCCGCCTTGGGCAGGGTGTGGTCAGGCGTGCTGGAGCTGGTGGAAAAGGAGCCGTAAGCGGAGTCCCGCTTGCTCGGGCCGCCCAGGTGGTCGATGCTGCTGTTGGACTTGGCAGCCGAGAGGCGCCCGGACGGGTAGGGCTGGGCAGGCTGGTCCAGGCTGTCCACGCTGCCCAGGGAGCTGAAGCGGTCAGAGGCGCGCAGCAGATGCGTCTGCTCCCACAGCCCGCTCGACAGGTCCTGCGACGAAGAGCTAGGAAACAAGAACCACAGGCAACAGCGTGCTTTAGAGTCATGTTGCAACAAAGGGCAAGATGAGACAATGCACGTAGGAGCGGCTGGCCCTGGGCAGAAGGCAGCCACTCGTCCCGGAGCGAGACCCCTGGGTGCGGCGCGTCTAAGTTTTCCCATTTCAAAGAGCAGCTTTCCAAGGGCAGGCTGAAAGGACCGAGTCCTACCCACACGACGCCTGTCCCCAAACAGAAAACCTTCCACGCCGCGGTACATCTCTCAGCTTGACACCCACAGGCTGGACCAGGTCCAGAGCAGGCAGCAGCAGGCAATGCTCCTGTGAGCACCTTGATCCTCAGTCACCGGTTAAGTGTCGCAGATAGCAAACCGCAGCCCGTGAGCTAAGGACGGCTTTTAGAGTTTTTTAATGGGGGCGGGGCGGGGCACGGAATCAAAAGAGTACTTCCTGATGCGTGAAAATGATACGAAATTCCGATTTCAGTGCTCATAACTCGAGTTTGACGGGAACTCGGTCATGGCTGTGTGCTTTGCTCCCAACGGCAGAGCTGCGCGGCTGCCGCGGACACTGGCCCACCAGCCTGAGGTGTCAATCCTGTCTGGCCCCCTGCGAGACGAGTCTGTGGCCCCCTGGTTGAGTGCAGGAAATGATTCATACTACGGACTGCTAACACAAAGAAAGCCATCAAAAGAGAACGATCTTCAACTTAAAAAGGCAAGTTCAGAGATAACATGACTTTTCCAAACCCAGATATTAAAATCACAGGCATGCCTCATTTTGAAATGACATGTGCCTGTGATTTAATGAAAGCTCCGACGATGAGTAGCATTTTTTAGCAATAAAGTATTTTAAGACGTATGTACTTTTTTTTTTAGACATAGTGCTACTACTGCACACTTAAAGCTCTCAATAATGAAACTCTTTATCCAGCCATGTTAAGTGCTTTCATTAAGTCATACGAGGGAGGCCATGACCGTTCCACGCCATGTCTGCAGAGGACAGACCAGGTACCCTTCGCAGAAATGGAGCATGTTCTTCTCCATCCTCCCACCAGTATTCCTGAGGGGATTCTTCCAGGAGATTACTGGACGCTCCACGTGGCCAGGAGGAACATCTCCAAGCCAACACACCCATGGTGCTCTCCCATGTGTGCCTTGCATTAGCCCTTCTGACCCCAAAATGTGGGCTCCAGAGAAGCCAGGTTGAGCAGTGCCCCCCCCCCCCCGCCGCCGCTTCCACCAGCTCACCATTCTAACATCCTCTGTCTCACAGTTACCAAGAAACCACCAGGCCTGGCACATGGGCTGTGAAGCCCCCTGGTTTCCCCTGTACCTCCACACAGCAACCTGGGGTTTGGGGAGAGAGTGCTGGTGTTTAACAGAATTTCCTGGGGGAGCTTTGGCCAAAAAACCTGCCCAGCAATAAGTAACGTGGTGGCTGTGGACACGTGGGGGACGCGGACAGCCATCCCACTCGGCTGGCCCAAAGGGATTCAGCCAGAAAGCGAAGCCTCCAGGCTCCTGATTTATCAGCTGGACAACATAAATGAGGAAGCACACTTGCTTGTCCTTTCTCTTGGTGTTTTATTTTTTGTTTTCAGGCATTATACACCTGCCTGCTCAGTGAAAAAATTTAGAGTCCTACCAGTAACGGTGTGTCCACGGCCTTTTCTCATCAGAAAAAGAACATCATTCTCAGGTCAAGAAAGATGATATTTAAAACACAACAAGCCAAAATCTATGGGACACAACAACAGCAGTCCTAAGAGGGACGTTTAGAGCAACACAAGCTTACCTCAGGAAACAAACAAACAGCTCGAACAACCTAACCTTATACCTACAGGAACTAGAAAAAGAACAAACAAAGCCCAAAGTTAGCAGAAGAAAAGAAATCATGAAGATTGGGGCAGAAATAAATGAAATACAGACTAAAAAGCCATTAACAAAGATCAATAAAACTAAAAGCCGATTCTTCGAAAAGGTAAACAAAATCGATAAATCTTTAGCCAGGCACGTCAAGAAAAAAAGAGGGCCCCAAATCAATAAAACCAGAAATGAAAAAAGTTGTAACTGATACCACAGAAACACAACCTAGAAGAAATGGACAAATTTCTAGGAAAGTACAATCTCCCAAGACCGAACCAGAAAGTAGAAAATATGAACAAACCAATTACCAGTAATGAAACTCAATCTAAAAAAACAAACAAATAACTCCCAACAGACAAAAGTCCAGGACCAGATGGCTTCATCTGGTGAACTAATGCCTTTCCTTCTCCGACTTTCCTAAAAATTGCAAAGGAAGGAATGCTCTGAACTCATTCTACAGGGCCAGCATCACCCTGATACAAAAACCAGACAGAGATATCACAGAAAAATAAAATTACAGGTCAGTACCACTGATGCACATAGATGAAAAGTCCTCAACGAAATATTAGCAAACTGAATCCAAAAAATATATTAAAAGGATCATACACCATGATCAAGTGGAATTTATCCCAGGGATGCAAGGATGGTTCCATATCTACAAATCAACCAGCGTGAGACACCACATTAACAAACTGAAGGACGAAAACCATATGATCAGCTCAAGAGATGCAGAAAAAGGTTCTGACAAAATTCAGCATCCATTATGAATAACAACTCTCAACAAAGTGGGTACAGAGGGGACGTACCTCAACATAACAGAGGCCATCTATGACAAACCCACAGCCAACATCACCCTCAATGGTGAAAAGCTGAAAGCATTTCCTCTAAGATCAGGAACAAGCCAAGGATGCCCACTCTCACCGCTCTTATTCAGCATACTTTTGGAAGTCTTAGCCACAGCAATCAAAGTAAAAGCAATAAAAGGAATCCAAACTGGAAAGGAAGAAGTCAAACTGCTGTCACTGCTTGCAGATGACGTGACACTGCACAGCAAGCCCCCTACCTACGAACCTTCAAGTTGAGAACTTTCAAAGACGGCAACACGCATTCGCCTGTCCAATCACAGAAGCTAGTTCACGTGTCTGGCACGTTGTCACGTGCGTGCATCCTCTACAAGGGGCTGTGCTTCTGTGTACTGTACAGGACTGTGTAGAGTCCAGGAGTACAGTATCTTTATTTCAAGCGAGATCTGCAAGAGGATGATTTCATTGAACTCCTTGCTGTGTAACACGAGGAGCTTACTAATGGAGACCTGACAGAACTGGAGGCCCAGAGAGAGCACAAAGAGGAACAAGAGGAAGAAGTAGCTGAAGAACCAAGGAGATTCACGATGCAGGAAACGGCAGGGGATTTTCTTTATCTGAGGAGGCACTGTTAGTTTTCGAGGCACAGGACCCAAACTTAGAACGGTACACAAAGGCTGCAGCAGCCGTTCAGAATGCAATCCAGTGCTACCGTGTCATCTATGACGAGAAGAAAAGTGCTACTACCGGGCTTCCCCGGTGATGCAGTGGTTGAGAGTCCGCCTGCCGATGCAGGGGACGCGGGTTCGTGCCCCAGTCCGGGAGGATCCCACGTGCCACGGAGCGGCTGGGCCCGTGAGCCATGGCCGCTGAGCCTGCGCGTCCGGAGCCTGTGCTCCGCAACAGGAGTAGGCCATGGCAGTGAGAGGCCCGCGTAGCGCAAAAAAAAAAAAAAAAAAAAAAAAGGGCTACTACCCAGACATCACTGGATCATTTTTTCAAGAGGGTAGATAGAATTGAATCCAGCAAGGAACCAGAACCTGGGCCAGCAACGTGAGGAGTGAGTGAAACTGCAGCTCCCCCTCTGTCTCCTATTGCTGACGATCCTTCAGCTCTACATCTCCCACCTCCTCTCCCTCCTCCAGTCAGTAACTCTTCTGGCCTGTTCACTCGATGCCAGCCCCTGGATGCCAGCTACTGTACTGGACTACTGTACTTTTCCAGGTACTGTATTATAAGATTAAAAATGTTTTATTTTTTGTGTTTGTTTTTTTATGCATTGTTTGTGTGAAAAGTATTATAAAACTCTTACTGTACAGTACTATATAGCTGACTGTGTTAGTTGGGTACGTAGGCTAACTTTGTTGGACTTAACGAACAAACTGGACTTACAAACGTGCTCTCAGAACAGAACTCGTTCGTATGTAGGGGACTTCCTGTACCTAGATAATCCTAAAGACGCCACCAAAAAACTATTAGAGCTCATCAGTGAATTTGGTCAAGTTGTAGGATACAAAATCAATACCAAAAAATGTGTTGCATACTAACAATGAACTATCTGACAGAGAAACTAAGGAAACAATCCCATTTACCACTGTATCAAAAAGAACTAAATACCTAGGAATAAATCTAACCAAGGAGGTAAAAGACCTATACTCAGAAAACTGTAAGACACTGATGAAGGAAACTGAAGATGACATACACAGATGGAAATATATACCGTGTTCATGGACTGGAAGAATACTGTTAAAATGACCATACTACCCAAGGCAATCTACAGATTCAATGCAATCCCTATCAAAATACCAAGGGCATTTTTCACAGAACAAGAATAAATAATTTTAATATTTGCATGGAAACATGAAAGACCCTGAAGAGCCAAAACAATCTTGAGAAAGAAGAACAGAGCTGGAGGTATCACAATCCCTGACTTCAGACTATACCACAAAGCTACAGTCATCAAACAATATGGTACTGGCACAACAACAGACACATACAACAATGAAACAGAATAGAGAGCCCAGAAGTAAACCCACACACTTATAGTCAATTAATCCACGACAAAGGAGGCAAGAATATACAGTGGAGAAAAGACAGCCTCTTCAATAAGTGGTGCTGGAAAAACTGGACAGCTACATGTAAAAGAATGAATTAGAACACTCGCTAACACCATACACAAAAATAAACTCAAAATGGATTAAAGACCTAAATTTAAGACCAGAAACCATAAAACTCCTAGAGGAAAACATAGGCAGAACACTCTCTGATACAAACTGTAGCAATATTTTTTTGGATCTGTCTCCTAAGACAAAAGAAAGAAAAGCAAAAATACACAAATGGGACCTAATTAAAAGTAAAGGCTTTTTTTTTTTTTTTTTTTTTGCGGTACGCGGGCCTCTCACTGCTGTGGCCTCTCCCGTTGCGGAGCACAGGCTCCGGACGCGCAGGCTCAGCGGCCATGGCTCATGGGCCCAGCCACTCCACGGCATGTGGGATCTTCCCGGACAGGGGCACGAACCCGTGTCCCCTGCATCGGCAGGCTGACTCTCAACCACTGCGCCACCAGGGAAGCCCTAAAGGCTTTTTTTTTTAAATAAATAATTAATTAATTATGGCTGTGCTGGGTCTTTGTTGCTGCACGCAGGCTTTCTCTAGATGCGGTGAGCAGGAGCTACTCTTCATTGTGGTACACGGGCTTCTTATTGTGGTGGCTTCTCTTGTTGTGGAGCACAGGCTCTAGGCACGTGGGCTTCAGGAGTTGTGGCTTGCGGGCTCTAGAGCGTAGGCTCAGCAGTTGTGGCACACAGGCTTAGTTGCTCCACTGCATGTGGGATCTTCCCGGACCAGGGCTCGAACCCGTGTCCCCTGCATTGGCAGGCGGATTCTTAACCACTGCGCCACCGGGGAAATTCCGAAAATTAAAGGCCTTTTTTTTTTCAGAGGGAAGGAAACCATCGACAAAATGAAAAGACAACCTACTGAATGGGAGAAGATATTTGCAAATGATATGACCAATGAGGGGTTAATATGCAAAATATATAAACAGCCCATCCAACTCAATATCTAAAAAAACAAACCTGATTTAAAAATGTGCAGAAGAACTGAACAGACATTTTTCCAAAGGAGACATACAGATGGCACATGGTAAGTGCTCAACATCACTAATCAGAGAAATGCAAATCAGAACCACAATGAGGTATCACCTCACACCATCAAAAAGACAACAAATAACAACTGCTGGTGAGGACGTAGAGAAAAAGGAACACTTGTTCAGTGTTGGTGGGAATGTAAACTGGTGCAGCCACTGTGGAAAACGGTATGGAGGTTCCTCAAAAAACTAAAAATAGGACTACCCTATGATCTAGCAATTCCACTCCTGAGTATATACCCAAAGAAAATGAGAACACTGATTTGAAAAGATACATGCACCCCAATGTTCATAGCAGCATTATTTACAAGGAGAAGATTGGTATAAATTATACATGTACACACACACACACACACACACAATGGAATACTGCTCAGCCATAAAAAAGAATGAAATTTTGCCATTTGCATCTACATGGATGGGCCTAGAGGGGTATTACGCTTAATGAACTAAGTCAGACAGAGAAAGACAAATACTGTATGATATCAGTTATATGTGAAACCTAAAAAAATAAACAAACGAATATAACAGAACAGAAGCAGACTCACAGACGTAGAGAACAAATTTGTGGTTCCCAGTGGGGAGAGGGAAGGGCGACGGGGCAAGATAGGGGTAGGGGAGGAAGAGGTATAAGCTATAAAATAAATAAGCTACAAGGATATACTGTACAGCACAGAGAACTGAGCCAATACTTTATGATACCTTTAAATGGAGTATAAGCTATAGAAATTTTGCATCCCTATGTTGTACACCGGAAATGAATAATATCATAAATTAACTGTACCTCAACAAAAACTAAAATAAAGTGAGAAATGCACAATTACGACAAGGCAGGGAAGTCATGAGCGTGGCAGAAAGCGAAACCAGCTTCCCATCCCGGCGGGAAAGGCGTGCCTACCTGGCGTGGTGCTGGCCTGGCCACAAGGGGCAGGAGCTGGTAGAGGGGAACGGAGATGCCGATGTCTCGGGGTGGCTGTCGGAGAACTTGGTGACGTGCCAGGAGTGCGGCCTCCAGCTCAGCTCATTCCTCCTGAAAAAGGATGCAGATGACTCAGGGACTTCACAACATGGACAACTTCAGGCCAAGAAAGGAGCGGGAGGCAGAAACGATTCCTGGGTGATTTACTGCATCGCTGTCAGGTGCTTCCCACTGCATCCGGGCACCAACGCTCTTTGTACAGGTTCGTTACCGGAGAACATCCCCGGGCGAGAATCACAGGCCCCAGAATGTGAACCAGCCCTTAGGCTTCCAAATTTATTCTAAGTAAGTGCATGAATCTTGCCCACGACCCCCGCTGCCCCATCCCCAAGACACAGCAGCATCTTCTGTCTGTCCGGTGTCAGTGCAACTTTGCACACGCCCTTAGCCTGTTTGAGGAGAAGGCACTGGGCTGCAGAAAAGCTTGAGCTGGGTCCCGCGGAGTTTTGACTGCATTTATTTATTCACTCACTTCACTAAGTGAACACAGCTATCCTGCAGTTAACGGGGACTGGTGGACACGTATTCCTCTGAGCCTCCCAGAGCGTCCGAAGTCATCTAAGGGCTCCTGTCATGGGAATCACCACGCCCTAAGACCAACAGGCTCCAGTCCATTCCTGCCAGGGCTTCTGAACGTGGCAGGAGCCTTCCCTGCCCCCCTCCACCGTCCCCACCATCCGTGGGTGGCTTATTAGGTTTTTGACCACACCTGCCCAGGTGTGAAACAGCATGTCCAGTTGGACAGCCCTGCAGCCGACGTAGGAACATCACAGGGCCTCCCGGGTAAAGCTGCTGCAGGAGCACATGGCTTGTGCTCGCCCCTCCTCCTGCAATTTTTTTTTTTTTTTTTTGCTGTACGCGGGCCTCTCACTGCTATGGCCTCTCCCATTGCGGAGCACAGGTTCCGGACGCACAGGCTCAGCGGCCATGGCTCACGGGCCCAGCTGCTCCGCGGCATGATGGATCCTGCCAGACCGGGGCACGAACCCGTGTCCCCTGAATTGGCAGATGGACTCTCAACCACTGCGCCACCAGGGAAGCCCCCTCCTGCAATTTAAGACGGATCTAGCCTCACCAAGGACACTTTACAGCCCAATCGAGATCGGAGAAAGGGTTCAACTGAGCCTCTAAGTACCTGATGGGGATCAAACATTCTTCCAACAGGCAAAAACATTAAAGAATATTATGCAACAACGAATATTAAAGAAAACCCAGAAAGCATTTATAACATAAACCTTCTGATGACTCAGAAACGAGGAAAAATACACGGGTGGCAAAATGTGGAATGTGTTGACTTTTTGATAGTTTCCCACGAGCTAAAGCATAAAACAGACGAATTCATCACACCACAGAAGTAAAGGAATTGTAAAACCAAAACTGTACCTCATAAAGTTTCTCAAAATCCTCGTAAGGAAGGTTCTGGCCACGTGAATTTCATTTTCAGATGGCTTTTCCTGTGCTATAATATCCGTAACGTCTGTCATCTTCCTTTACAGGTAATTAATGAAGGAAACAAACTAGACAAACTGCAGGCAAAGGAAAAAGAGGCTTCGAAAAGAAAACGCCTTACACTTTGTGGTAACATATTTCAACTCTGTAATTGGAATGGGTGGGGAACCAGCTGGTTTACTGGGGCAGTCGTGCTCTTTCAGAAGAGTAAATGTTTCTCCTCTTATTTTAAAGGATAATACAGGCAGACCTTGGAGATGTTTCAAGCTGGGTTCCAGACCACCACAATAAAGTGAACATTGTAATAAAGGTAGTCACGTGAACTTTTTGGTTTCCCAGTGCATATAAAAGCTATGTTTACACTATACTATAGTCCACCAAGTGTGCAATAGCATCATGCCTACAAAAACACAATGTACATACCTTAATTTTAAAAGACTTTATTGCTGAAAAACGCTATTATCTGAGCCCTAGTAATAATATTAGTAACATCAAAGATCACTGATCACCGTAACAAATATGATAGTGGAAAAGTCTGAAATACTGTGAGGACACAAAGTGAGCCAGTGCTGTTGCAAAAATGCTGCCAACAGACTTGCTTGCCACAGGGTTGCTACAACCTTCCATTTGTAAAACAAACAAAAAACACGCAGTATCTGTGAAGCACAACACAGCAAGGTATGTCTGTACACAGATATATGCCTCTACTTCGAGGAGACACAGTCAACAGTTACGGTACTAATTGGAGCTTTAAAAAAAAAGGAAAACACAGTGAAAAGGGTGGTACCTAGAAGCTCTAAGTGAGGAACCATGGCTCCTGGGGAGACTGAAATTTTCCTACGTATGTGGCTCTCGTCAGGTCCTCAGACTTTCCTAGAGCACAGTGAACGTATCTGGGAATCGAGGAAGGTTCAGGCAGTTTCTGTCAGCCCCTCTGATGTTTAAAACTGGATTCTGCTGATGAAAGGAGGAGGACATGTGGCTGAGGGCTGGTCTCTCCACCACAAGCCCGTAACCACACTGGGCAGGAAAGCTCTGGGGACCGAACGCTCTGGCGCCACCTAGCGTTCCCAGATGGAACAGAAATGGCAGGGGCCGATTTAAGGCGCTCGTTTCAACAGCGAGATGGTGTTTCTTCCCACACAAGATACGCACTCCAGGTGGCTTTAAACCACCCGGGTCCCTGGAAGTCTGGAGCCATGAGGGGTGCACAGGCCACAGGCTGTGCCAAAACAGGTGGGCAAGGTGCCCCGATGTGAGGGCCTCGGAGAACTCGGACCACATGGTACCTGGTGGTACCCGGTTAGGGGTTAACCGCCCTGCCCCCTCAGGGGGCCACGCGTGTCGGAAGGAAAGGCACACCCGAACCTTCCTGTCCTGGCGGGCGGGATGTCTGCTATGTCTGCCACAGCTGGACCAGCCCCCCCACAGACATCAAACACGAAAAGAAGGGAGAGCTGTGAAAGGAACGCCCCCTCCGCAGGCCACGCAGTCAGACACAAGCCAGCTCGGCTGGGGAGACCAGCAAGGACGCCCTTTCCGGGAGGAAGAAGGACGGCACGGCTCAGCCCAGAGACATCCAAGGTCACGCTTCTGTGCAAGGCAGTGTGGTCAGCGATGCCAGGGAGGAAACAGCCGTGACCCGGCCGGGGTGCGGGTGCTGACCCCTCCTGTGCGTGCAGCTGCACAACCCTGCCAGCTCCGGAAACGCAACAGGGCTGAGTCCAAGTCACGCCCACGGGAGACTAACAGCCACTACCATGGGTCACCCCAGTGTACAGGGAAGAAAGCCTTTTCATTCAAATGGCCACTGCTGCTCGGAAAGCTTAAAGAATAGGCATATTGTAGAAAACATGGAACATTTAAAAATTGAAATGCGATTAAGACAATAAAGGAGGATAACCCGTAATCTGAAGATGAACGGTGGGTAACATCTCTGCATTTCTTCCCCCGTTTCAGACGGCTGAGAGCATCGTGCAGACTTGGCGGGGCCCTTTCTCTCTGCAGCCCGCCTGGTTTGGTGAGCATTGAATCTCCAGGCCACTGTCACTTTTCCAAAACGTCATTTTTAATATGGCATAATATTCCTTCCACATAAATACTGAAAAGCAATGCTGCTGACTATTAACACCGGGTTTTCTGGCTTCCAAATCAAATTATTCGCCCTAATGAGGGTTCTCTGAAACCCTTCCCAAAAGGTGCACACCAAAATTAATCTAAATTTACTTCAATTTCTAAAAATAATTTTTTATGCTAGGTAGTCTTTTTTTTTTTTTTTAAAGGGAAGGGGTGTAGATCTCAAATATAAAAAATGCTAGGATACCAATGAAAGTTAAGAATGGATCTAGATACAGAAAATTCATTTTTAAAAAGAAATTATTAAAATAAGGGCTTCAATGAAATGTTTCTCATTCAGAGAAAGAGCAGAAGTCCCTCAAAAAAAAAAAAAAAATCACGTGAACGCCGGATTATTTTCCTAACGTTTCCAAGTGCGGCCAACAGGCGCTGCCTCAGAAAATAAACGCAGTCCACATGTGGTCCCCACGAGCGCGGAGACGGGGGGGGGCTGACAGTACCAGGCCTGCAGGCTGGGAAGCCAACGGGAAGGGCCTGGCGGGACACTGTGAGGGGGGCACCACAGGGTGTGTTGGCTGCAGGCGACATCCTCGGGGAAAATAAAACCAACAGTGATGCTTGGGGCATCTTAGAAGCAAGCGTCAAGGGGGGCGGCAGTGGGGAGGGGCCTTCCAGATAAAGGGAAGGCTGGAAAGTTCCTCAAATGCTTCCCAGTGAGTCCTGCGGGTGACGGGGGTGAGTTCCGGGCAAGGAGCCCCCAGAAGCTTACGGAGGGAGGGTGTGCAGAGGCCCCGAGGGACAGGCCCACAGAGGGTACAGGCCCTCGAGATACTGGGCTGGAGGAAGGCGACAACTGCAAACAGCCTTTTTATTCTTTAAAAGTGAAACACACACATAAAAAGCACCCCCCTACAGACACAAAATGAAGCCTGCCCTGAGCTGCTGCTTCCTTCCTGCGCCGGTCAAGCCTCTAGAGGACAGATGCTGACCGGCCTCTCCCTCTCCCGAGCTGTCTCTACCTTCTACCACACCAGTCTCCCTGCAACTCAGCTCTGGCAGCTCCTGCCCTCACCCCACCGCCCTCAGCTGCTCCCAACTGCCACGGAGCGAAGCCCGGGCCAGGTGGCACTGGCATCGCCGGGATGGCTGTGTTTGCACAAGCCCTCAAGGTCATTCAGAGGCGAGCTCAGGTCTGAGACTCGCCGCTCTAGCCCCGAGCAACCCTTCCTCCCTTCCCCCATCCGCTCTGCCAGCCTCTTTAGGAGGTCCCGGCATCACTGACTTAGGTCCACGTCTGTGTCTCAAACCTGGCTCAGCCTTCAAAGGACAGCCTGACTGCTGAGCTCTGCTCCAGCCCTCCCTCCTTCCGCCAGAGCCACCACTTGTCAGAGCTTTTCCTGTCCATGCCCATCAGTCCCCTCAGCTGCCAGCGCCCCAAGGGCAGGACCTATGGGTACGACTTCAGCCGCCTGGCTGGAGCGCTTCCAACGTACATTACGTGAATGAATAAAAACAGAGGTCAGACC